GTACAAGACAAAAGACATTAGTAAAACCAAACCAAATAAGTTACCCCCCCTACCCCCCCCCCAAAAAAAAAAAAAAAAATACCAGTGAAATGACACCGGGTGCCCAAAATTAAAGCAGCTTACTTCTTGACTTTGAGAGGAACTGCAACCAGCTATAAGTAGCTTATTAATTTCCAGTGCCTGCATTCTGCCAAGTACTATGATATATTTCTGAAGCTTTGTTTCCCCAGTTCCTTTTTCAGACGTTTGCTGTCAATGAAGTTGAGCCAGCCAACTTGGTTCCCACAAGCTACTAATTTTGTCCAAGCTTACTCTATGGGAGAAGTTAAATTTCCCAAATTCCTTGAGCGGAAAATGAAAAATGGACTCAAAGTGTCATATTAGGCAACTATCTAAAGAAAAATACTCAATTGAAGTTTAGATAAGAAAAGTGAATGTATATTGATGTAGTCTCCGTTAGGTGAGAAGCGTATCACTTACCCAACAACATATGGACCTAAATTTACTTGTGAACTTTTCACATTGTATCAGAAGCTCAACAAACAGAAAGGTGACTAGTCCTAAAATGTTATTTCACATATATTTGCACAAGGTTTGTCAACCTTATCATACGTGCATTATTTGTTCTCTATCTTTCTATTTCATCCGATATAACCAATCATCATTGTAAATTATATAATGCCTGTGGTTACTTTTGTCTTTAGTGACAAATGACATTTAGGCTAACCATGTAGTTATTGACTTATTTCGCTTGAGGTCTCTTCCAATTATGTAGTAGTAGAGTGTTGAGATATGGATATGTTACCTTCTAAAAAAAAAAGAGTGTAGAGATGCGGATGGTTTGCTAGCTGGCTTTTGTCTCCCTTCAAGTTGAATTAGCAAAAGCAATGTCTCATAAGTTGGATAGCTAGACAAGAAAAACTTCAAATTACTTTATGTAGAGTATTCTTAAGCTTGAGTTGCGAGTTGGAAATTAAAGCCTGGAATTATTTGGTTGAGCCTGCTTTTTAGTTTTGTCAATATTCCCAGTATCTAACCCAACATGTTTAGAGCAATTCCCAGAGAGCCTCAATACGAGGCATTTGCAGAGTCTTTATGAGAGTCCAGGAAGGGGCACACATTCTGTAGAGGTATAGTCTTGTCCTTATTTTCAGGGTTGAACTAGTTCTTTAGAAGTTTCCTAGGCTTCCTAATTTCCAAATTTCTGCCAGGTCCTTTGTTGGTGAAGTACTTGAAGTTTAATAAATCAAATTTTAATTTCTAACATATCCCGAGAAATTTATTCACAAATTCAACTGGTGACTTCTGATGCAGAAACATAAGCAACTGCTTATGGGTTCATATGTTCCTGCAATTTTATTGTTGACATAGATTGGCTTCTTATGGTTTTGTTCCTGCAATTTTATCGCTGACACTAATCCTTTCATATGGTTTTATGTGGGGTGGTAAATAGAGGTTAAGAGACAAGAAGAGGCTGGAAAAGGTGGGCAGTTCATTTGTTAGTAGACTACTCTATTTACTAAGAGATATGATGTCCCATACATTACTCGAATTGGCTCCAAATCCAGATTCCACTTCTTTGTCAAGTTTCCTTACTGTACAGAGTTCGACTCGTCAAGGGAAATTCACTTCCTTTGACTGAATAATGCTAGTTTGAGTAGTACATTAAATGGACCATTTAATTCTATCTACTTGATAGAATAGACTGGTCATCAACTAGTTGCAAATATAATGACAACCCTGCCATGTTTGCAGAGTCACCTGATGAAGAAGTACCTCAATTAGTAGAACATTTCTTGAATGTTCTACAGTATTCTCTATGCCTACATGACCACATCACTTTTCCTTTTGCGTTGTGAGAACTTGAACTTGGTGAGCGGGGGTTCCCCAGGAATGGCATCTTGATGGCAGATGACCATTCTGTCGTTGTCTTAGCTAATGCTTCTTGCCTTGCCTCAGTAGATATATTATACCTTAATAAATGTTTGCCATTGTTCTGCCATAATAGAGGGATGTACCTAGCTGGTGCTTCAAAACTAATGAAATGCTTTACAATTGTCGAGTCCTAAAGGATGATTTGTGCAATTAGATCTCAAACAATTTGTTTTGAGGAAGAAAAATACCAAAGGTTTTTTCTGTTTGTTGGAAGATTAAAAATCCTTTAAATGGTAAAGATTTATGAACTTAATTCAGCATTTTTGTGGCCATTGCTGAAAAAGAGAAAAAACAATGGCACTTATTCGAGTTTGCTTATCCAAAAAAAAGAAGAAGAGAATGTCACGTAATGCAATTTCATCGTAGGAAACTTTGCAGGAGAAAAGCAAGAGTGATAAAACAGAACTATTTGTTTTTTTTTGATAAGTTGTTGTGACCTATTTCTTTGTCATTCTTATTTGCTAATAAGCTAATGTACTATAGTTCCTGTACTATGGTTGTTTTGACATAATCCGGGGATGTTCAATGAGCATTTTCTTGTTTTTCTTCTGCTGTCAGCATCTGCTGCCTTACAGGAATTCATTTTCTGGAAATTTACTTCTTGTTCTGCTAACATTTTCTTGTTATATCTTGTCAGTCATTTTCTCTCCATGGTTATACTGTTTGTGTCACTTTGAAACTCTCCTTGTTTTCTACTTTAAAGGATTTAATGCTGCTGTTGGGGGCTGTTTCTTTGCTGTGGAATCTGTGTTATGGCCATCACCTGCAGAGTCCTCCTTGTCCTTGACAAATACGACTTCAATGGTTATTCTCAGTGCTGTTATAGCTTCTGTAGTCTCAGAAATTGGTCTTGGCTCTGAACCTGCATTTGCGGTCCCAGGATATGATTTCCGTACACCTACTGGTAATTTTGGACTACTTTCTCGAGTTTGATTCTTAAATACAATTGTACCCGTCACTTACAGCAACAACAAGTACATTTCAACAGCTAGTTGGGGTTGGCTACACAGATCATCACTATCCATTTCAATTCATTTAGTCCCATTTCTTTCGAATATTGAGTACTTTGGGATTCTCTAATATCAAAGGTTCTCTATATTTTCTACTTTGACGTACAAATCTCTAAATAGATTAAAGAAGACTCCTAGAGACACTGGCCTAATGCAAATGTACCACCACGAATAAACTTTAATCTGAAATAGCTGGTATCGTATATAAGGACCTTTGGCTTTAATTGTGTTCTATATTGATCTTTTGGGACAACTTCCTTCCAATATTATGTCTTACTTATGCAGTTATACTTATCCTTAAACCTTACTCTTTAGAGTGGTTATCCGTAGTTCAAGCTTTTGATGGCACCATAGCTAGTTTGGTTCTTAGTAAAAAGTTACTCTTTAGAGTGCTAACTTTTTGTCAATTTTCTTAGTGAAAATATAACCTCTGTGACAAATCTACCAAGTATAAATCCAATTTGGTTCTGTGTCATCCTTGTAGTTTATCCAAGTCTATGCTCCATCACTCTTACAAAGGTTCATCGTATGACTAATTCTTTTTTGGAGAAAGGTAACAGTTTGTATTGATGATAAGATCAGCGCCAGGTTGGTCATTAGTGCTAATAGCTGTATGTACAACACCAAAAAAGCAAAAGACAAGCACCTGATGTAAGGTAAATTACAAGCTGCCTATAAAATCTATCAGGTGTCCTACCTCACTAAACATTTCTTGTTTACACCAAAAAAAATAAAACAAGGAAAGACAATCCATCTTAATCTTCTGAATGGAGTTTCTTTTGCCTTCAAAACATCTCGAGTTCTTTTCGTTCCATGCAACACCATATACAAGCTGGGATGATTTTCCATTTGTCTTTATCCATTTCTTCTACCAATTCCCTTCCAATTGATTAGAAGTTCCAATGTGGTTCTAGATATGACCCAATTAACTGCTAGCATATAAAAGAACATGTGCCACGGATTTGTAGTGATTCTGCAATGTAGGAACAAGTGAGCATTACTTTCTACTTCCTGTCCACAAAGAAAACATCTTGAGCAAATCTGGAAACCTCTTCTTTGTAAGTTATCACGTGTTAAACATGCCTTTTTCACCACTAACCAGACAAAACATGATACTTTGGGAGGAGTTTTAACCCTCCAAATGTGTTTCCAAGGCCACACCTCAGTCATTGAAACATTATGATGTAGAGTCCAGTATGCTCTTTTACTGAAAATGCACCTTTGCTATTCAGCTTCCAAACTACTTTATCTATGGTCTGTGATGTACCCTTGAAAGGTTCAAGAGTTTGGAGGAAGATAGAAACTCTGTTTATCTCCAATCATCCAAAGATCTTCTAAAGTTCCAGCTCCATCCTTGTGAGCTCCAGACCGACTTACCAATGCTTGGCTTTGAAGACTTAGAGAGAATAAGTCAGGAAAAAATCTTTCAATCTTCCTTGCCCTATACGGTGATCTTCCCAAAAAGATGTCTGCAACCCATTGCCAACATTGATCCTGATATTGCTACTGAAAGATTTCTTTTGGTGGCAGGATTACTCTCATTAACAATGTACTTGACAATCTCCATACATATGAATGTCTCTTTACCCTCTTGCCATTAAGGTTGTAAAGAGAGTTGTCAAATTAAGAAGAGGTTTCCTATGGAACTTGTTTCAAGGAAGGAACCTCCTTTTCTTTGGTCAAGTGGAGTTAAGTCATATAATCTAGGAAGTGGAGGCTTGGGTATAAAATAGCTGCAAATACAGAAAAGGAGCATCTTATTTTAATGATCACGGAAATGTGCCCAAAACTTTAAATATCTGCGGAGCATATGGTTGTAGCAAAATTTGAATCTTGCGGTCAATGGTGCTCATGTCCAGTGTGAATGCCCCTGATGGTGAAAGTGTCCTGAAGGGAAGCAGGAACTTATTGGAGGAATTGGCATCTGACACTCAGCTTTTCGGTAGGTCATAGCCCACTGAAAATTGAGTGCCCAGATTTATATATTTTTGCTCTAAACTGATGATGCAGTTGCACAACAACGACAAACTAAGGTGGGACATCTTCTTCGGAAGGAGTTTTGAGGATTAAGAGATAGAGTGGTTGATTCAGTTGCAAATGAAGCTTCAAGGGTTCAATATCATCCAGGAGACACCGGATTCTGATAGATAAAACAACAGAAAGATGAACACTACTTTGTTAGGCTTGTTACAAGTTGCTATCGTCTTTCTTATCTCGGTACACAATTTAGATTTGGGAACTTATATGGAAAAGCAGAGTGGTTGTTTTTGTGAATAGCATCAGACAAAGCTTCTGAGCTGGTACGACAGAAAACTCAACAGGGAGAATAGAAGACTGTGGTTCACAATTTCTGCATGCATCTTTTAGGTTATTTGGTGGGTAAAATATTTAATGTTTTGAAGGGAAGGTAGAACATGTTCATAGGCTTAGTCAAATGTTTGTATTTTTTTGGCTCTTTGGTGAGAGATGCTGAATGTAAATGACATAGGCAGCTGACTATAATTTCTCAGTTCCTTGCTTTTTAAATTGACAGGCACTGATATGTACATGTGAACATCCAACACTTATGTGGTGCCGTTCTGATGAATAAAGAACATTAATCACTTACTGATCAGGAGTAATAGTTTAGGAATTCTAGAATTTTTGTACATAAAATGAACCAAAAAGAAGATCGGAATGAGAACATGTTTCTTCTTTTTCGTGAAAACTTCAATAACACTTCTGATAGAATAGCTAGGTCCATTTGAATTCCTTTGGAGACCCTTACACAACCAGTGAATGACAAGTATAGCATTTTCTAACACCCTCCCACACGTATAACCCAGTTTTTAGGGTTTAGATGTGGATTTGATTTGACCTTATTGCCTTTTTTTTGTTTTTGTTCTTTTTGAAGTAGAGAGTGAGAAGGCTCAACAACGACAGGCTACGTAGAGCGAGATTAATTCGGCTCAACGGGCTAATGATTGGACTTACATGCTACAACAATGTTAGAGAGAGAGAGAGAGAGAGAGAGAGAGAGAGAGAGAAGCCCAGAGCAGTTCCACGAGTTAAGAAAAAGAAGTCCAAAGCGATAGAATATGAAGAGAGAAAGCAGTTGTGCTAACAGGCTCCCTGAAGTTTGGCTTTGAGCACCCAACTCAAAACCTTAAGGCAATGAGTAGAGTAGCCCAGGACCATTTAAACGCCTGTTGAAAAACTTACACAACCAATAAGGGAACAAGTGTAACATTCTCTTACAACCCTACCGTCTTACAAGTCAGTGCTCTAATTTAGCATAAAATCAAAGTGAGGCGATCTACAATGAAATGAAGTAAATAACTGATAAATATAAAGAATGTTAATTCTCCCATATAGCCTGAATGTTCCCAGAACAAAATAAATTAGTCTCACGATTTATCATTAACATGATGTTCCTCTTATTTTGAGTGATTAGGAAGGTTAATCAAGGTATAAATTCTTTCTAATTTGTATCGTCTAGAATTATTTGTCTAACAAATTTTCAGATTACCGGTGATCAAAAGAGGAAAATATTTTGCGTACAACATTACCATACCTTACTAAAGGGAGATGAACATTTTTTTATTTTATTATTGTCCCTTTTTTCCCAAAGGGTTATGCAGTCTTCCTCCACGTGATATTACTCTTAGGATCACGTTTTTGTCATTGCTATTACTTACTGTGGTAAGTACAAGTGTGTTTTGAACTCTTTTTCGTATGTATTATTGAGTTAATTTTTCGTTTCCATTTCAGAGCTGCCGCTTTATCTTCTGCTGGGCATCTTTTGTGGCTTAGTTTCAGTGGCATTATCAAGTTGTACATCATTTATGCTGCAAATAGTGGAAAATATTCAAACGACCAGCGGCATGCCAAAAGCAGCTTTTCCTGTCCTGGGTGGTCTTCTGGTTGGGCTGGTAGCTTTAGCATATCCTGAAATCCTTTACCAGGGTTTTGAGAATGTTAATATTTTGCTAGAATCTCGCCCACTAGTGAAAGGCCTCTCCGCTGATCTGTTGCTCCAGCTTGTAGCTGTCAAAATAGTAACAACTTCATTATGCCGAGCCTCTGGATTGGTTGGAGGCTACTATGCGCCATCTCTATTCATCGGTGCTGCTACTGGAACTGCATATGGGAAAATTGTTAGCTACATTATCTCTCATGCTGATCCAATCTTTCATCTTTCCATCTTGGAAGTTGCATCCCCACAAGCATATGGCCTGGTATGAATTTGTCTTTTGTTAGAAGTAGCATTACATATCTGGATAAGTGAGTTTTTTATTATTGAAAAGTAATAACAGGAGAGCAAGAGAATATAGCACCCAAATCTACTTCTTTCCTCTCTTCTATTCTTCTGAAATTCAAGGTCCTTTAACTCCTCCACAGCCTGTCTAGTTATTGATCCTGTAGACTTAATTCACATAGGTTTAGGACATTCGAGTTTATCCAAACTTCATGAAAAGGTTTCTAATTTTTTTTACATTACAGTATGAGTCGTGTCTACTTGAGAAACATATCACTCCATGTTTCTATAGAGTCTGTTTTCTCCTCAGCTTATTCTGATATATGGGGTCCTATTAAGTCAGTTCAACCTTGGATTTTCATTATTTTTGTAGTTTCATTGATAATTATTCAAGATGTACTTGGATTTTCTTAACAAGAGATAGTTCTCAGTTGTTTTTTTTGTTCCTAAGTTTTTATGCTGCAATTACAAAATTAGTTTGATGTCTCTATTTGCATTTTTCCCAATTTTAATGCCTTAGAATATTTTCTTCTCAGTTTCAGTAGCTTATGATTTCTTTAGGAACTCTTTATCAGAAATCTCAACTGAGATAGATGAGAGGAAGAATAAGCATATCATTGAGACGGCTCGTACCCTTCTCATTCAGTCCCCTGTCATTGGATGCCTCATCTGCTATCCAAAATCAGATTCAACCTTTCAATATTGTTTCCTCGCTTACCTTTATACTTTCTTCCCCTCGAGTCTTTGGGAGCACATGTTTTGTTCAATAACATAGCTCCTGGAAAGTGACCAGCGCAATCGACAAACAAGGCCTTCTTAATGTGGAAGGCGGACATATGCTATTCTAGACACGGGAGAGAAAGTAATACTGCAATCAAACGCAAATATCTGAGTATAACCTTTGGCAATGGCGATCAATTTGATTATATGGACCAGCTTTGCCTGCATATACCCACAGACAACCAATAATAGATTTACCGGGAGGTAGAGAAACAAGCTCCCAAGTACCACTAATATGTAAAGCAGACATCTCTATCTCTTTGATTATAGCCTGTCCTTGTGGACATAGGGATAGAAATTGATGACAAAGATGACACAAAAGCATAATTCGGTGATGATAAACGATGATAACTCAAATCAATATAATGGGGATGGGGATTAAGAGTGGATCGAATATCTTTGTGGAATGCGATTGGTAGACTAGGAGGAGACAAGTCCGCAATAGGTAAAAAATCTGGTACATGGCATGAATCTTCTGGACATAATGTTGGACTGACGTCAATGATAAGTCAAGAGTGGTGGAGCTGCAGAACATGGAACTGGAGTTGTAGGTGACATAATCGGAGCTGTAGGAGGTGGAGCTATAGAGGAAGGTGAAGGAGAGATAGTGACTGAATCTCCAAAAGATGAAACCGGTAATACCTCAAAAAATGTCTAAGAGATCATTTGGACCTATGAAGTATGGTTGCGTTTTAAAGAAGGTAACATCAGCAGACATAAGGTACCGCGAAAGGTCAGGTGAATAACATTGATATCCCTGTTGCGTCCTCGAGTAACTTAGAAATACAATTTGAGAGCACGGGGAGCTAACTTATCTTTTCTGGAGTAAGGTTATAAACAAAACACGTGCTCCCAAAGACACGAGGTGGAAGAGAGAAAGGTGAGTGGGGAAACAAGACAGAGTATGAAACTTAATTCGTGATAGTTGAAGATGGCATACAATTAATAGACTATAGGATGTGAGAACTGTATCCCCACATAAACGCAACAGAACATGAGATTGTACAAGTTGGGTACGAGCAGTCTCAATGAGATACCTATTCTTCCTTTCAGCTATCCCATTTTATTGAGATGTGTATGGACAAAATATTTGATGTATGATCCTATGAGAGTTCATGAACTGCTGAAATGGAGAAGACAAATACTCTGGGGCGTTATCACCACGAAATGTGCAGTTAGAAACCCCAAATTGATTTTGGATTTCAGAGTGAAAGGTCTGAAAAATAGAGAACAACTCAGATTGATTTTCATCAAGAATATCCAAGTGGACTTGGAATAATTATCAATGAAACTGACAAAGTAGCGGAATTCCAAGGTAGAACTACCCCGACAAGGACCCCAAACATCTTAATGGACTAAAGTGAAAGGTGACTCTACCCGATTATCAGGACGTCGAGGGAGATGAGAGCGAGTATGCCTTCTGAGCGGATATGACTGACGCTCTAGAGTGGACAAGTGAGACAAACCAAGTATCATTTTCTGAAGTTCTGATAAATTGGAATGTCCTAACTGTTTATGTAATAAATCTGGTGGATCAGTAAAAGGACAAGATGCAGGAGACAAAAATACCCAATATTTCCAGAAGATGGCAAACTACAACAGAAGAAGCAACTGCATTAACAGGCAGATAGGTGATGAAATCATTAAGGACAAAGAGTTGATCAAGAAGGAGATTCTGGAATTCTACGGGAACTTATATATAGTGAAAATGAACCCTGGAGGCCCAGTGCAAATTTTGAAGGCATCTCCTCACTAAGCATAGAAGAGAAGAACTGGTTGGAAGCTCCATTTGATGAAATAGAGGTGCTTGAAGCGTTGAAATAACGTGCCCCTAATAAAGCACCAGGTCTAGACGGCTTCACCATGGCTTTCTTTCAGAAAAATTGGGATACTCTTAAAACCGACATCATGGCTGCACTTAATCACTTTCACCAAAGCTGTCACATGGTTAGGGCTTGCAATGCCACCTTCATTGCCTTAATTCCAAAGAAAAAGGGTGCTATGGAGCTCAGAGACTACAGACCTATTAGCTTGATAGATAATGTATACAAATTGGTTTCAAAGATTTAGCAGAGAGGCTCAAGAAGGTAATTGTCAAACTAGTCTCGGGGGAACAAAATGCTTTCATCAAGAACAGGCAGATCACTGATGCTTTTTTGATTGCCAATGAAGTGTTGGATTGGAGAATGAAAAGTGGAGAACCAGGCGCAGTGTTTTGGAAAGCGTTAAGCGCAAAAAAGCGACGAGGCCTCGCTTCACAGAAGCGAGAAGCGAAGCGCGCGCTTTTTTGCTGTGAAGCGCACTTTAACACATAAATAAATAAAAAAATGGCATAGATAAATGGCTAAGAACTCATTAAAAATAACATATTAAGCAAATAATAGATTCAATTCTTAAATTTACTACAATCAACAACCAAAAAAAAAATTAACAATTAATTCACAGAAGAAAACAAAAAACAGAGCATAAAGAGCACTTTTAATAACAGAAAACAGAGCATAACAGAAGAAAAAGAAGTCGTATCATGATAACAGAAGAAACTTTTAATCACAGAAGAAAAAGAAGTCGTTTAGGGCAAAAAATGAGTGCTTAAAAAGTGAAAAAAATTGAAAGAAGAACAGAAGAGAAGAAGAATAACAGAAGAAGACAGAAAACAGAGCATGAAGAAGAAGAACTGAAGAACTGAAGAAGAAGACTAGAAGAAGAAGAAGAACAGAAGAAGAAGAAGAAGAAACTTACTGAGATCTGGAGATGAAGTCGTTGCTGGAGTTTGCTGGGCTGGAGAAGAAGACCTTCGTATGTTTTGGTAACAGATGTCTTCTGCTCGTATGTTATTTGCCCAAAATTTTTAAAAAAGCCCTAGCTGATGCCTTCTGCTCGCTTAAGCGAGCTTTTTCTCGCTTTTTCTAACTCGTCGCTTCTCGCTTAAGCGAGAAAAGCGCTCGCTTTTCTAATGTGAGTCGCCTTTTTACCAGAAAAGCGCTACCACTGCGCCTCGCCTCGCTTCATCGCTTAAAGCGAGAAGCGAGCGCTTTTAATAACACTGACCAGGCGTGTTGTGCAAACTGGACATTGAAAAGGCTTTTGATCAATTAAGTTGGTCTTACCTCATGAGTATCTTGAGGCAGATGGCTTTGGGGAGAAATGGATAAGATGGATAAACTATTGCATTTCAACTGTCAAGTACTCTATTTTGGTGAATAGGGGCCCGGTCGATTTTTTCTCCCCCAAAAGGGCCTAAGGCAGGGGGATCCCCTCTCCCCCCTCCTATTCATTCCGGCGATGGAAGGACTCACTAAAATGTTGGAGAAGGCTAAGCAACTACAATGGATACAAGGCTTTTAGGTGGGAAAGAATCCTGCCAGCTCAGTTACAGTATCTCATCTACTCTTTGCGGATGATAATTCTTATTTTCTGTGGTACTGAGAGATCACAAGCACGGAATCTCAACATGACACTAATGATCTTCGAGGCACTATCAGGGCTCCACATCAATATGATAAAGAGCATTATATACCCTGTTAATGTAGTCCCGAACATACAGACATCCTATGCTGCAAAACAGATACTTTCCCAACCACATATCTTGGACTTCCCTTGGGAGCTAAATTCAAATCAAAAGAAGTTTGGAATGGAGTCCTAAATCACATACAAGTTCTATATGATTGATTTCTCCAAATTTCAGTTCTTTATACAACTATTTGATCCAAACTAATCCGTAGTTACAACAATCATTGCTCGATATTCTGCTTTTGCACTAGATTGAGCAACCACATTCTGTGTCTTGCTCCCCCAAGACAATATCAAGACGTCGAACGTCTATCAAAAGATGATGATGCCCAATCAACATAACGTTATCAATGATCTACTTATGGGCTCGATCCTCGAAGAGTACTTCTTTGTTTGGGGCTGATTTTATATTTCGAACTATATAGAAAATGGCTCTCAATGACTATCACACAGAGAGTCCATGAATTGAGTTAAATATTCACAGGAAAGGAAATACTATACTAAGTCACTATGAGGTAGTTCAACTGACCAACCAGCCGCCTTTATCTTATAAGATGACCAAGGGGTCTCCTTCTGTCCTAGCAAAAGATTCAGATACATATGAGTATTGTTAGACAGTTTGTATATACTTAGTGTCCCACATTGGAAAATAGATAACATATATATTGTGCAAATGTATAATTAGGGTTCAGTATA